TCTGGCTCCGGCTCATCGTCGTCATCGTCCAGTGAAATGGTGAGAATGTTCTCCTCTTTGGTTAGCTTTGCCGGCGTGGAGGTGGCAGAGGCACCCTCGAACCGCCGCTTCCCAAGAACAGATCCAGGAACAGGCTCAAGATTGCTCTTCTGATGCTGCTGCTCCAGGGGCTTTTTGGGCGACGACTTCTTTTGTGGATCTACTGTCTTCAGCTCCTGGGGCGGCTGCTGCATCTGCTCCTTAAATTGTTCGTGCTCGCGGTGCTCTCGATTCCCGCCTGGAAATGCACCGGGACCAGGACCATGTCTGCCAGCAAAGCCAGGTCTGCCGCCAGGACTAGGTCCAAATGCAGCTCCAGGTCCGCGTCCTCCAAAGGGTCCTCTCTCAAAAGCAGGGCCTGATCCCGGTCCCGGTTCCGTTCCTGGTCCCTGACCATCCTTTCCCGCATCACCTCTGATTGGACCCTCAAAGGAGCCACCGCGGAAGCGTCCGCCTCCACCATCTTCATTCTCTTCGATGGGATCTTTGCTGGCCATTGGTCCGACTGGTGGACCATCTGGAGCTGCTGCTGTTGGTCCTGTGCCGGCACCAACTGCCGCTCCTCCACCACCATCTTGAGCCTGACGGCGACGTCGCATCTGTTCACGACGCTCGGCAATGCGACGCCGCTGCTTCTCAAACTCCTCCTCGTAGCGGCGGTACTCATCGCGATCCGGATGATTGGCATTGGCCCGTTTCCAGTCCTCAAACTGCTGCTCCCACTGATCAAACAGCCGATCGAAGCTCGCCTCATCCAGATCTGGTCCGGCAGGAGCTCCACCTCCGCCACGTGGATTGATGTTATTGCTGTTCCTTGGGCCAAAGTTGCCGCCGTTGCCGTTTCTATCGTCGTTGTATCCCTGATTATCCCAGCGCCCAGCATTGTTGTTCGGCGGTGGACCACGACGATTGTTGGCCCCAAAATTATTGCCAAAGTTGCCAGAGCTATCCGATCCTCCTGGGGCTCCACCACCGCCGCCATAGCTGTTGTTGTTAGTAAAGTTTGATCCACCTCCGCCTCCTCCTGCTCCCCCGCTAGGGCTATTACCAAAGTTTCCAGAGTTTCCACCGTCACTGGAATTGCCAGTAATTGCTCGTCTAGGTCCAGGTCCAGGTGTTCCACTGCGACCGCTGAATCCTTCTTGATTTGAGCCAAACTCCTGGCCAGAATGCTGAGTAAAAGGATTGTTGCTGCGTGGTGGGGGAGGGCCATCTGCTCCTCCCTTTTGCCCTGGTCCGTCGCTCCAACCTTTGCGCTGGAAGTTATTGTTCGGTTTATTCCCTGCATGGCGCTGCTCCATATCGGGATTATTCGTTGACCAGCGATTCGTTCGCTGATTGCTGTTGCCACCCGGCGGCGGCTGCTGCTGCTCATGTTGCTGGTCCATACCTGGGGGTGGTCCCTCCCAGCGTCCTCGATTTGACTCAGCAGCAGGCGGCGGCGGTCCGCTCCAGCGATTGCTGCCATCACCACCCTGCGATGGTGGCGGTCCGTCCCAGCGTCGGTTTGCATCAGCGGCAGGTGGTGGCGGGCCGGAATTCCAGCGGTTCCCACCCGATGGTGACGATCCCTCCCATCTAGAACCTGGACCTGGACCTCCACCTGGACCCGGACCAGGTCCGGGCACATCTGTTGGCCCGTCCCAGCTTGCTGCATTACGTGGCGGCGGCTGATTCTGGTGCTCCGGATGTTGGGGGTGCTGGCTCCATTGGTTCTCCATGGCATTGGGCAGCTGCGGGCGCAACTTGGGATCTCCGCCCATAAAGGCAGGCGGCGGCGGCTGCTGCAGATTGGGAAAAGGATTCATGTTGCCCGGCATCTCGTTGGGAATGGCTCCCATGGGTGGCTGACCGTAGCCTCCCATCTGTGGCTGTGGCATTTGGTTGTAGCGAGACCCCGACGGCGGTTGTTGGTGATGCTGATGTGGATGAGCCGCCGTTGGCGCTGTGGGCCACATATTGGGACCGGGCTGATGCTGATGCTGGTGCTGATGCTGCATGTAGCCTCCGGCATTGGCGTTCTTCTGCGGTGGCGGCGGCGGCGGCTGGCTGTACATTTGTGGTTGGGCCATAATCTTGCCCGGAATGCCGGCCCCTTGGGGATTGGGGGGCACCGGAGCCACCACCGCCGGAGCCTGGTAGTATGCCTGTTGTGCAGGAGGATATCCCTGCACTCCCGGCTGCACTGCCACAGCGGCGGGCATAACAACTGCTGCTGCTGCGACGGGCGCTGCAGCCACTGCCGGTGCAACAGCGGCAGTAGCCACGGCCGCGGCATTTGCTCCGCCAGCTGATGCGGCAGCCATCTCCCGTTTGTACTGAAAGAGGTCAAGCAAATTAAATCAACTTAAGTCGAGTGGTGCATGGGGGATGGTACACACCTGCTCTCCGTATTGGGCATGCCACTTGGCGTACTCCTGCTGGTACGTCTGCCACTGATGCCAGTGGTGCTGCAGCGCATATTGCTGCTCGGGGGTCATGGCCGCGTACTGGGCAGCCGTGTACTGCTCGTAGGGGTTGGTGGCCGTTTGTCCGGCCGTGCTGTAGGGGTTGCCACCCAGTACCGCAGGCATGGCGACCTGGTCAGCGTCGCCGGCGGGCACCACCGAGGATGCTGTGGACGCATGGTCGGCGGGCGGCGGCGGTGGTGGTGCGTCGGGCAGTGGCGGCGGTACCGTGGGCTGGGGCGGTGCAGCCATTGACACGGCGCCTGGCACCATACCCGCTGCAGCGGGCCATTGATTCCACATTCTCACTCCTCTTTTTTTGCACACTTTCGGTCACAAGGAATGGGTTTTTCGTTATTATCTCATCGTGCACTACTCGTGTGTGCTCTGGCGATTTATTGTATTCGTCATTAAACTCACCGCGAACTTGTTATTTTATGTAATTTGCAGCAATAAACTAATTTCCGAACATAAGAAAAAGTAAAAATTCCACTCACTTCGCCATTTTTGGCTTGAAAATTAGAGACGGGGAACGGGATTCTCGATTGCCGCAAGACGAACACAATAGCAAAAAGAAAGATATATCGATAGTGATATTGGCAAACTGACTATGACACAAAAAAAAAACTTGAATCCTCTCACTTTAATTATTTATTTATTATTATATTATTATTTATTATATTCTCTGGACCATTTTTATATCGATATTTGGTTGATAATTTCACAACAATTATTAAGAAAATAAACCAAAAAGGGTCACTAAGTAATCAATTTATTGAAACTGTTTAGATTTATCAAATGCTTAAGATGTTCTAGTTTCTTCTATTATTTCTGCAATTAGATTTCATCGCATGGCAGTGATAGTTATCGGCTATCACTATCGATAGCGGTGGGCCGACACGTGCTGGCTAAATTGTTTTCCTTTTATTTATGTGAACAAGAAACGCAATTAAAATGAACGAAACAAATGGAAAAATCAAATATATGGTGGCGGACACCACGGCATTTATCAATGCAGTTCCGCTGAATGTAAGTCAACTTGAGAAATCAAAGATAACGCCTGAAACCAACAAGCTGAATCCGTTCGTTTTCAGGAATACGCCGAGAGTGTGCTCACCGTGCCCGATGTGGTGGCCGAGGTGCGCAATAAACGCCAGATCCGCCGCCTCTGTGTTCTTCCCTTTGGCCTGGAGGTGCGCGAGCCGCGCCCCGAGAGCGTTAAGCACTGTGTGGAGTTTGCCAAGAAGACGGGCGACTATGCCAGCCTCTCCGGCATCGATCTGAAGGTGATCGCTTTGTCCTACGAGCTGGAGAGGGACAATGTGGGCACCGAGCATCTGCGCACGGAGCCCGTGATGGCCCAGACCATTGCCTCCAAGGAGGAGCCCAAGGAGATGCAGGAGGCCAACACAAAGCGTCTGGTGGGCTGGTACATGCCCGAAGGCGAAGAGGACGATGACGAGGATGAGGAAGAAGAAGAAGATGATGATATTGGAGAGGATGACGATGAGGATGTGGAGGACAAGTCTGTGGATAACGTAAAAGCTGCCATTGAGGCTCAGATCGAGGGCGTGGAGCTGCCCACTGAGACAAATCCAGAGACAAAGGAGGACGAAATCTCCGAGGAGGACCTAAAGACGCTGTTGGAGCAATTGAGTTGTGAGTCCGATGCCCCGGAGTGCGATATGCTGGTGGCCCAGACCAATACAGAAGATGATGAGTTGGACCAGGAAGCGGAACAGTCGGCCGCCAGCGTATCCAACAGCCATCAGGACGATAACGTGGGCGACGATGGCTGGATCACCCACTCGAACATCAGGAGCGCCAAGAAGGCGCTCGAAGGCAAGGTGGAGTCCGACGCGGTTCCCCTGGTGGCCTGCATGACCACAGATTACGCCATTCAGAACGTGCTCAAGCAGATGAATCTGAACCTGGCCGCCCTCAATGGGCGCATCATCAAGCAGCTGCGCACGTACATCCTCCGCTGCTATGCGTGCTTCAAGACCACCAGCATCATGACCAAAGTGTTCTGCCCGAACTGCGGGAACAAGACGCTGAAGCGCGTCGCCGTCAGCCTGGACGAGAATGGCAAGCAGGTGATCCACATCAATACGCGTCGTCCGCTCACGTCCAAGTACAAGAACCAAAGCCTGCCCAAATTCCATGGCGGCAAACATTCGCGCAATCCCATTCTGTTCGAGGACCAGCCCATGCCCCGCCAGATGCCGTCACGCGTGGCCAAAACGAAGACCAATGCCATGGACGAGGACTACATGGCCGGCTACTCGCCATTCGTGCTGCGCGACGTCGACTCCAAGTCGGCCATGCTCCGCTCCAAGGGCAATCTCAAAGAGTGGGCGCGAAACAACAACTTCGAGGAGGATCGCCGTCGCAAGCACTACAATCGTCTCTACAAGTAGCGGGGTGGGGCTGCGCGTCAGGGTGGGGGTGGGGTCCATAGCTATAAGCTTTCCTTTATCGTGTAATCTGTGTTTATTTTTGAATAGTAAACGCTTTCTACACACACACGCGCGAATTGTGCTTTATGGATCTACAGCCGGATGACCAGCTTGGCGCCGTAGGCTGGCAGATTGAGTTCGTATTTGCGCTGCAGGGCAGGCGGCACAAAGCGTCCGCCCAGATAGTGATGCTCGCCCTTGAAGTGCTTCGCACAGAGCTTGGGCGCCGTCAGGGAGATGAGCAGCTGCGGCTGAAAGTCGGATTCGCTCTGCTTACCCTTCTCCACGTCCCAGCCACTGGGTATGTCCACGCTGGGCAAACAGAGAGAGTCGAGTGAGAACTGGCATACAATAATTCGGGTACTGCTCCATGCTCACCTGGCTATTGGCAGCTTGGTTTGCTGCATCATCTTTACCAGGGGCACGAAATTTTCGCGCACCGGCGGCTTGAAGCCAAAGCCAAATAGGGCGTCCAGAATCAAGTCATAGTCCTCCTCGGCAGCAGCCACTGAGGGGCACTTTTTGATGTTGGGTATCTCCATGTGGTGGCACTGGTTGGTCAGATTCTCGTACAGCGCCATCAGTGTGGGCTTGGGATAGTAAACGGTGGGCTGATAGCCCATCAGGGACAGGTGACGGGCACAGACCAGTCCATCGCCTCCATTGTTGCCCGGCCCACAGACGACTAGCACTCGCGGGTGGGTTTGGGCGGGAAAGCACTCGGCAACCGCATCGGCACAGCTTAATCCGGCCAGTTCCATCAGTTGGCCGACATGGAACGTGTCGAACAGGTCAATGTCCAGATCGATGGCCTCTTTTTGTGTCAGATACTTGACCATGTTTTGGCTGCAAGACTGCTGCAAGCTCAAATTACGCTTTAATTGTTGTTTTTGGTTTTGTCTCTGCTGCTGCTGCGGATTTCCGATAAATGCAAAATGCGCGAATGACAACCGGCTTTGTGTGTTTATTGTACGCCAAAGCAGCTGACAAGTCCTTGGGATGCAGCCATTCCACCCGAGACACTGCGAGCTAAGCAACCGCATAATTCATTTAATTTAGCACTTAAATCATTGGGAGTTGACTTAAAAAAAAAAAACAAAATAAAATTGCAGATTATGCAGCTGGACAAAGTAAATCTATCGATATCCCGTAAGCGATAGTTACTGGGTTTTCAGTCGATGACCCGCAATTTGAATAATTCAAATTTATGGCCAACACTTTATTCTTAAATCAGGTACACACTAAAGCTATCAAAGGAATACAACAAAATATGCTCTTTCAGACGACCTATTGGCCCCGAGGATTGATGTGACGCTGCTGGTGCATCTCCAGGGTCTGGCGAGTGACGCACGGCTTGTTGCATTGGGCACAGGCGTAGGGCCAGAGGCTCTTGTCATGGCTACGCATATGGGAAGCTAGTCGCTCCCCGTCGGTGAAGCACTTGGAGCACACATCGCAGCGGGAGGGCAGCTGCTGGTCTCCGCTGGCGTGCAGCCGCTCGTGCCTCAGCTGGGACGCATGCGTCCCGAAGCGCTTCTCACAGTGGACGCACTGGAAGCGCCGCTGGCCCTCGTGCACCACCCGCACATGGCGACTGATGGCGCTCTTGTGTCGGAAGAGCTGCGGGCACTGCTGGCACTTGAACTTCTCCCAGCTGGGGTTGTGTATGCGCAGATGGGTGAGCAGCTCCGTCCGCGTCACCTTCGCTACGCCGCAGTGCTCGCAGACGTGCTCCTTACGCTGGGCATGCCGCTTCAGATGCTCCCCTAGGGCATTTTTGGTGCTGTACTGCCGGTTGCAGTGTTCGCAGATCAGACGCTGCACCTCCTCCAGCTGCTGCTGTGCAGACCCGCCGACGCTGCCGCTGCCGCCCTGGGACGGATGGGAGTTGCGCATGTGAGATCGAAGCTGCTCATAGCGCGTGAAAGACTTGTCACAGTCGCGGCAGAGGAATGGCTTCGCATGGCCCTGGTGCACGCTGCGGATGTGCGCCTCCAGGTAGGGCAGCTTGTAGACCTGCTTGCCACACTGGTCGCAGGTCAGGGTTCCCGCTCCTCTCTTGCTGGACGAGACTGAAATTGAGGCGTTGTCAGCTTCCTGTACGGCTGCATCTGCGGACTCGAGCTGGTCAAGCTGCAGCTCCTCCTGCCCGTCCTCCTCCCCGCTGCCTGGTGGCTCGACTTTTATCGCTACATCGCTGGCCAGCTGTGGAGAGACGCTAAGAGAGCATTAGTCATGTGAATAAGTGTGTTGGGCATTAAAAAATATTGTTATATCAACCAGCTGTGTTTCCAAATGATGGGACGACTGTTGCTGTGCTTCCCCCTCGGTGCCTGTTGCCGCGGAGCCCTTGGCCTGCTCTTGGAACAGTGGCGTCAGCTTATCGTTCGACTCTTTGGCGACCTTGCACAGCTCTTCGAAGTACTCTATGGCATTGTAGCAGAGGGCGCATATCTGCTTGGGGAAACCTTGGGGCTGCTTCAGCACATCGATGCCGAAGAACTTCTTCAGCATGTGGACCGAACGTGAGTGGAAGTTCTCCACACTGTGGTCGGAGCGGTGCTCCTTGAGATCTCGCAGTTGCCGTAGGCATATGCGGCATTGTCTTGCTATGTTGGCAATGGTGAACATTGTTCAGGCGCGGCCAGTTGCGTTGCGCACGGAACGCCCGAAAGGAGTTATCAGCAGACAAAACTTAGTTCTTTGATCTTCTTCTTCGCGGAATCCAACCAGTGGTCAGTGGGCTGGGTGTTGGTGGTGTTCTTTGCGTTGCGTTTAGAGCTGAAGATGCAGCGATAGTAAGATATCGATAATGCTACTGCTAGCGATGAGCGGTGACTTCTGTGGCGTGACTACTGGGGAGCAGTTTTATCAGTTTTAAGTGGAACGCATATATCATTGCAGCACATCATAGTATTTTATTTATTAGGCTTTTATATCACCTTGTTCTTAATCTGCAGCACAGCCACCGCTAGTGATACTTTATTTTGTATTACCATTAAGCACATTTTCCAGAATAGTGCACTTGGTAACGAATATTAACGTTTCCACTGGCATTCTTCTAATTGCTTACAAATTACTACGCCGTGACTGCCTGAAGTGAGTGAAGTACCAACCATCGATATTTTTCCCATACTCTCGCTAGGGTTGTCACATATATTAATAAAATAACTTATCGGTGATACTTTTTCTTCGAAAACATATCAAAAGTATATAAAAAATATCGCAAAAATATCAATATTTTGATATTTTGGCAAAAAGGTATCACGTCATCGATATATTGATATGTTGATATATTTTTGACAGCCCCACCTCTCGCTTGGCAAATGTGATTTTTTGTGTGGTCGTTTGAAGTTTCGGAAATAGTTTTGCTTAATTTGTTTATAGCTTCTGAAGTAATTGGAACACGATGTCACTAAATCCACAGTACGAAGAAATTGGCAAGGGCTTTGTGCAGCAGTACTATGCCCTGTTTGACGACCCGGCGAACAGAGCTAGCGTGGTCAATTTCTACAGCGTAAGTGTTTCTGTGTTCGCTTTTGTGCCCCGGACGCTCCAGCTTGTGAAACTTTGCAGAGGTGTCGCTGCAGCAGCGGCAGCAACAATTGTGGAGCTGCTCTCTGCAGCAGCTGCGCCTCCTCTTGGCGCACAGGTGACGTGCGTTGCGCCCTTGAAAATGTGCGCCTCCTCTCGTTCGGCCTCATCCGAAGCGGACACAAAAAAGGGCGCGCAAATTCACAAAATCCCTTATATGCTGAGGCCTGGGTTGATCTCAGGGGGGGGCGCCTCATCTAATGCCTCTTCTCGAATCTTCCCATAGGCCCGGTCTGGTGTGACACATACTCCCAATACACGCGCGCCCACACGTATATACAATGATATATGCCTGCATATATGTATGTATGTATGTACATATGCTGCGAGAAGCGTTTTTGTGTTGGTGTCTGTTTGTGTACATATGTATGTATGATGTATGATTTTTCATGAAACAATTCTCTTGCCAGGCAACAGAATCCTTCATGACCTTCGAGGGCCACCAAATACAAGGAGCTCCAAAGATATTAGAGAAAGTCCAGGTAAGTGTACCCATTCCCCTCCCACATATACAATACAATAAATACATCATTGAATCTTTATGAATTGTTTTAATGTTCCACAGAGCCTGAGTTTTCAAAAGATTACAAGGGTGATAACCGCTGTGGACTCGCAGCCCACCTTCGATGGAGGAGTTATCATCAATGTCCTGGGACGTCTGAAGGTAAGGCACTCCAAGCCTAACACAATCGCCAGGCGGGGGGAGCAATCGAAAAAGGTCTCGGTGCAATTTCGAAATTGTTCAAAAATGTACCGCTACGGCTTCGTCGGCTCTATCGGGGACGGAACGCTTTTCGATTGCTTTCGCAATGCCTGCAGCAAATGTATACCTATATATATAAATATGTATAAATATATATCGTATATTTCAAATGAAAATTTAATTAATGGAACAACAACAACAACAAAACCGCAGACCGACGAGGACCAGCCGCATGCCTACATACAGACCTTTGTGCTGAAGCCCGTCGGCGGTAGTTTCTTTGTGCAGCACGATATCTTTCGGCTATCGCTGCACGATGTGTAGCCCCCCGGGCCGCCGTCCTTCTCCCACCACCAAGCGAGCAGTCGGGCACGGGCCAGGCCAAGTAGAAAGAGAAGCGACACTTTTGTTGAGTTTACTGCAAAGAAATCCAAGAATACCTCAACTTCAACCTCAACCCAGAAACCCAACTAAGACACAAAGCCCGACCACGACTCCAACTCCGTCTTCGTATCCGTCTCCGTATCTGAATCTGAATCTAACGTAAATCAGTAACGTAACGAACGTTAATCCTAAGCGTTAACTCTGCTGTTTGTCATTTTGCTGTTGCTGTTTGCGCCATCATCTCCTCCTTCTTCTCCTTCCCATTGATCTTCGAATTTTCAATATTCCCAAACCAATCTCGTGATTCTCTCATCAATCCCCACAATTAACATGTTTCACATTTTATTTTGTGCATGATTTTATTTGTTTCTATGTTGGTTTTAAACATAAAAAAACGCCCCTACTCGACGAGTGAGAGCACAAAAAGGGTTTACTCTTTCTCTCTTTCTAGTTCTGTCTGAAACTCGAACACTTTAGAAGCTAGATCTTGGCATTGTTTACCATAAAAAGATTAAATTGATATTTTAAGAAATATTAAAAAAAAACACTTGTAAGCCAGCAAAAGTCTCGTGAGTAGCGGGTATATCTGATGGTCGGAAAATGATTCCGGCCTTGGCGTTGTATCCTAATTACTCCCTCTCTCGGCTTGAAATTTGTTTATTTTTTTCCTCTTTTCAATTGATTTTTGCACGCCTTTTAAACGAAATTAAAAAAACCCCAAAGGGATTGAAGATCAATTATTAATTTTGATTGTGTTTCCACCTTTTGCAGTGCGACGATGATCCCCCGCATGCCTTCTCGCAGGTCTTTACGCTGAAGGCCAATGCCAACTCGTTCTTTGTGGCCCACGACATTTTCCGATTAAATATACACGATACTGCATAAGTAATATCCATAAAGATACATAACCACACCCAAAGATGCGGCGAAGATAAAAGAACTCGACAACAACTGACGATTATTTTCAACACCAAAATCAAGAAATAAGCAGAAAGCACAACAACAACACCAGCAACAATTCAACAAATATTCAACACCAACAACGGCTAGCTCAATCAATGGATGGGGTGGAGGTCCACGTCCATGAACATGCCCATACACTTGCACAGACGCATACGCAGCACCTCTGCAAGTTCTCACGTTTATCAGCTATGAACAAAACAGAATAAACAAAGAAATTAAATTCTAACTACTATTACAATGTAAACGACACGCAAATGAAATTAGCGTGTACCGTGCTCCATTTTCCATGTCAATGACTAATTTAAAAAGCGGACAATTTACTTTTTATTGAGACTAAAACTCACACAAAAACAACAATTATTGCACTTACATTTAAGCGAGTTTCGAAGAGAGTGTTTAGAGAGAGTTACTAACGTGTATGCAAAATGTATGAGCAATCTTAGATGCGTTTAAGACAAAAGCAATTGTAACCATCGTCCTCCGATGCGTTGAATAACAGAGAGGAGAGGCTAGATCCATGCGAGCTGCTGGAATTGCTAGCAGCTTCTCTGGTCTCACTCTCTGGCAATCCAACGCATCGATCAGACCCATGGAATCGTTAAAGACTAGATCCGAACGTATGCAAATGAAAACTAAGACCCAGTTTTGTGTAGAGCAAAGGCAAAGCAATCTGAAAATGTAACAATCATAGATGCATCAAGCGTATGCTTCCAATCGCTAGTGTCTCCAATTTGCAATTGTGTTGAACTCTAAGCATGCACCCGAGGTATAGCGCTAGAGTAACTATAACCTCTGAAGTTGTAATAATCTAAAATACACCACCATCAACAACATCAACATCACCGTCAGCACAGCATAGCACGTTGGGTAAGGGTAGAACTTGGGGGAGCTCGCGAGTAAATTGTTAGCTATTCAGTTGTATGTGTGGTTAGTGTTATTCTAAAGAGCGAATGTTTGAGTAAAAAGTATATAAATAAATAAAGTAAATGAACTCTGAATCTGAATCGACTTAACGCCTAATAAATGCATATGAAAGGAAAAAAAAAATACAAGTTTTGTGCGGCCTTCACTTCACTTGTCCCGAAAGGTGAAGATGGCATCGAAGCCAAAGAGCACGCCATTGACGATCGACAGTGAGGCCTTGATCAGCGCCAGGTCGCGTGTCCGTGTCCTGAAAGAGAACTCCCAGGCCTCGATGATGAACACACCGCTGGCCACAAACAGGGCGCAGCCCAGGACGCTGAAGAATATGTCGATGCGCTTGTGGATGGGTGCCCGCATCAGAACGCCTGCAAAAATGGAACCAGATGATGATGGATTGTTTATGGATTATATTAAGGTTATACTCGGAATGCTTACCAGCAAACACACCAAGTACCACGATAATGTAGCCCGTGAAGGTGCCGGTGGCCAGAAACGATGTCATAATATCCCGATCATTGAAGCTGTAAAAGTGCAGCACCAAACAGGCCACTGCAAACCCCTGAGAAGAGATGATAAAAGAAGCGAAAGGGCTCAACACTAAATGGGATCAGTGTTGGATCAGCTTAAGGGTAAGCAAATGGAATACCCATAAAACGATTAATCCTCATTTTGTTAAACTTCTTTCTAGGATTAAAAGCGTTTTATCCAAGTGGATAAACTTTAACATGGATTAAGAAGGCATCCATTTTCCTTTCGAGCACTTTTCATCAACACTTTTGCACTTTTGAATTTAAAAAAAAAACTGAATCACTTGAAAAAAAATCGTTACCAATTCCAGAAATTTGACCACATTGAGGTGACCCTTCCGCTCGCCGTGCGACATTTTGTGAAACTGTTGCCGTTGGTAATCCTCGAAGATGTGATCCAGCTTGAAGACGCTGGCCGATCCTTTCGATTCTACAAGTATGGATGGGACCGGATGGATGGGATGGTATCGGATCCGTTCAGCGTGTACGCGACCAAAGCGGAACGTAAACTGATTGCTGCTTGCCCCCGGGCTGCTGTGTGTGGCAAGCGAGAGTCAATGCAAATCTCTGATGCTCTGCAGCAGATCGGATTGGATGGATCCCCGGCGAATGAGCGCGAAATTAATTAATTACACTTTTGGGCGGCGGCTCGAGAGGGCCACAGAGGAAATAGGCTTTTCATTTTTGTGGCTCTGTTTATCTGCTGTTTATCGTGAAGTGGACACCGCCTGGCGTGCCTTCTGCTGTAAGACGGAACCACAGCCAGCCATCCCACGATATTACAGAGTGCACTTAAGGAAGGCCCTCTTGATTGAGTGCAGAGTGGGTATGGGCATGGGGAGGGAACCGTTGTGTGCCCCACCATGATTATTGTTATGTTGCGGGGCAGAGCATACATTATTTCTCCTATTATGAAATTATAATAATGTCTATTATGATGCCGCCCCACATGGCTAATGATTTCGTGCTAGAAGGTTATGTCAAGATTTATGCAGAGACTCTCTCTCTCTCTCTCAAATGGGCAATGGGGCCATTAGGTTAAGTTGCTTATTTTAAGGGGCAACTACTATACATTTAGATTCTTATGACTGGAAGAGGGAAATTTGTTTTAGTTGTATGTCTGATTTATCGCAGCCCCGATCGCGACTAGTTTTAGATCAGGTTTGCATCTATAACCCGTTTTCCGTCTGGCTCTGAATATTTTAGAGTAAAAATGCATCCAAGTCTATACCCGTTGATGTATTTTAGTATACTATTCACTCTTTAGACTAAAAAAAAACCCTTTAAAATGAATTTTAATGATGTCAATTGATTTCTCCATTACTAAATGGTCTCATAAAAAAAGCACAAAGCTTTGAAGCACCTGCTGATATGGAAAATCTATGTACCTAACGACCTACATATATATGGACCCTGCTTATCGCTGCACTCACTCGATTAATCCCCCATCCATATTTGTATGGGGATTAGCCGGGATGGGTTAGTACGTTTACGTTTCTAACAATTTTCCAGAACGAAAGCTAATTGAGCTTTGGAGCTTTTTGTCTTTGCAATTTTACGCTAATTACCGGCAATTTGTATGCTTTTGTTGTTTCATTAAATGTTAATCATGGAAAAACGGGTATTGAGTAAATGAATACCCAACCCCTTGGGAAATGATAGATCTGATCAAATGCACGCCAACTTTCATACAGACGGACCAGTGTATACCCCTTTTGAGGTGGCCGGTACAGGGGATCAATCGCAATATTACTAGTATTTCCATTACATGGCGTGCAACGATCGATTCAGTCTGCGAATGTTCGCGAAAGGTCCCCGGTCTCAGAATGCTGCATCCCGAGTTGATTTCTATGGAGAACGAGGTATTCCGAGTCTACCTCGGATGGACGGCGGTTCTGGTCATCAAAATCTTTGCCATGAGCATCCTCACGGGCCTCACACGCTTCGCAACGGCAGTAAGTGCACTTCCTTTTCCCTCTGTTGCATCGCAGCTGCAAGAACCTGTTGACACTACTTTGACTTAAATTTCGGGTAGAATTGAATATTTTTGTAAAATGAATAATTCAACACAGTTTAAGATTCCCTTTAGGGGTTCAACTCAGCTTATTGGTTCGGTATCAATGGTTGTCGATGGCTCTTGTCTTTAGCGTAGTGTCAACAGAGCATAAACTGTCTCGAATATTCCACATTTCTGGCTGTCTCAGAGTGACGCGGCACAATTGCTTGTAGTTTTGAGAGAGCTTTTCCAGCAACTGAGAGAGAGCGAGAGAGAGAGTGCAGCGACAGCAACAGCGATAGATATAAAGAAAACACAAGCATTAAAGCTCTCACAACTTTAAATTTCACAGCGTGTGGCAGACCTGTCGAGCGAGCCGGCAGAAAAAATAGAAATTATCTACAAATCTAAAATAAATCTAGAATCAAGTGAAAGATGGCCAGCATTGTGGAGCTACTTACCCTTAATAACCCCGTGTTCAAGAGCTATGTGTTCTGGACCGGCGTTCTGGTTCTCAAAATGCTGTTCATGAGCGTCCTCACGGCAATGCAGCGCTTCAAGACGAAGGTGCGTGTGTGTGTGTGTGTGTGTGGCTAGGGCTGGGGCTTAGGTCAAAGTCTACTTTAAGTGAAAGTCACTAATGGTGCCGGCGCTATCTCTCTATCTCCTGACATTCTAGACCTTTGCCAATCCCGAGGATCTGTTGTCGCCCAAGCTGAAGGTGAAATTCGACGATCCCAATGTTGAGCGTGTTCGCCGCGCCCACCGCAACGATCTGGAGAACATTGTGCCCTTCCTCATAATCGGCCTGCTCTACACGCTGACGAACCCCAGCGCTTTCCTGGCCATCAATCTCTTCCGCGCCGTGGGTATTGCCCGCATTGTCCACACCCTCGTCTACGCCGTGGTCGTGATCCCCCAGCCTGCGCGCGCCCTGTCCTTCTTTGTGGCAGCCGGTGCCACCGTGTACATGGCCTTCCAAGTCATGGTGACGGCTGCGTTTTAATTATTAGATTTACAAACAGCTAATTGTTAATGTTCTTTTTTTTATACATAAATGCATGTGTATGTAAAGCGCTGCAGCTGCAGCACACCGACACGTACATAAATACATTGTTTTTTTTTTAAAGCTCTGTTCAGACTAAGATCGAGCAATGGTGATCTCCATGCTTTTGATTTGATGTTGCTTCATTTTAATCATCCCATTGATTTAAATCCGCCGCGTAGCCGATTTCCAGACAGACCTTAATTCCTATCTGCGTTGTTTTTTCCCCCACGTAAGAAAATGTATCAACAGCATCTGATTTCCTTGTTCAAAAGCTATCTAATTGAAGGGAGATTATATTCAGGTTTGACGCTTGTGTAAACGTGTTCAATTACGCATGTTATTCAGAATTTATAATAAATCAAGTGTCATTTAAGCTGCAGCCAACGGTGTATATGCTTCTGCTGCACTTGGGCTGTTAACCGGTTCGTTTGGGAGCAGCTGCTTTGTGTAGCTGGCCTGTTTACACTAAGCTGCGGCAAGTCCCACACTACACTGCAGCCCTGGTATTTATTACCAACTCAATCCAATCACAGTAACTTCAACATGGTTGAATTAATTGTTTTATAAAATATTAAAATTTTTCAACAACTAGAAACAAGCTTGAGTAGTGTAAACGCTTGTGCAGCGCTCTCTTTTTTAACCGGTTCTTGTTCTCACTCTCTCTCTCTCTCACCTGGTGGTGTTGCCTGTTGACATAAGTATGTATATGAGTGTATAGAAGTTCTTCAAGGTAGGGGCAACTCAGTGATTGGCCTCTGAGTTATCACTTTGGAGATTTTTGTGAGTTCTGGCAAAGACCATAGAGAAAGATGAAAAACGCTAGACGATTTTCTTGCACTCGAATTTTTCTGCCAGACTG